TTACTTACCTAACGTACACACATTATTACTACACCGACATACCACAAGTATTTTCTCTTTTTTTTTTTTCCTCTTTCGTAAATAACTATTCCCAGTCTGTGAGACACGGCAATTTGATCACTTATCTTCTTGCTGTCTTTTTAACTGTCATCACCATCATATGAAAAAAAAAAATGAACATGCGTTATTTATATTTTTTATGTAAGCTTACAGGACAGATATCTATTTATTTTTGGCACACTTCTTACAGTCGCTTAAGTGATTTCAACTTTTTTAACTAGCTCAAATTCAATAAATAAAATTAGCTTAAAAAATGTTGCTCATTTTAATTCGGTTCATCCGGTTTCAACTCACTGAATCAACATAAAAACCTGACATTTTTTTTTCTGTTGTCAATAGTCTCTAACATTGGTAGAGTTCAGTACTCAATGTGATTTTTTTTTTTTCTCTTTCGTGGTGGTGGGAGATTAAATATTATTCTCATCTTCGTTTGTATCAACCTTTTGAATACTTATTTGATTACAGCCATACCAGCTTCATGCTAAAAAAAAACATTTCAAAACTTTAAGTAAGATATTTTTATTCACTTGTTGCTAAGCTAATTCCTAGTTTCTATTTTTTTAATTTTTTTATTGTTCTACTTACTTAGTAGAATCTAATAAAAATTTGTAGTTGTGAAAAACAAAATAACCGGTCTTTCTGACTGTTTTGAATCGAGCAAACTCAAACAAATTATAAAGGTTGTCTTTTTTATGGTATAATTTATTTCATAAAAACTTCTGATAAAAAAAAAGACCCAAGGAAAAGTGTTAAAAGAAAAAAAAAGTGATATCTGTACTTATGTTTTTAAACTTTTAGCCGTTGGAAGTACATTTGTTCACTCAACAGCCAACAACTCATTTAAACTTACTTCGGGCTCTGAGAAACTATTGCTTAAAAATATTGATTGATTCATTGATTTTTTTTTTCTTCTTTTTCTTTTTAACTAGTTGACCTAATTTTTATTCATTAATTCTTAAACCTGCAGCAGAGAAAGAGCCGTGTGTTTGTTTTTGTATATTGTCACTGACCTGCTCAGTTAGGTTTTTCTTTTAAATCCTGATCCTGTAGCAATATTAAAGAAAAAATAATTTCATGGCTCTTCTTCTTAGATGACAAACTAATGTACAGGGTAATCCGAAAATCTAGTCACCTCCCCACTACCAAAAAGTAATGAGAACAATAGAACAAGTAATACTGTAATACTGTAAAAGCACATGTACTGGATTCAGTTTTTTATTCACTTTCACTGACGCTGTCACACATCGAGGTCTGTATGAGCACCATTTTCGTGTCACAAAAAAATGATGCGGCACCATGTCCTGTGCGATATTTTACTAAGTTATGCCTTGTTTTTTGTTGCAAAGGCTCTTCGAACGGCGTCCTTCAGCTGATGTGCAACTGTCCTTTGATAATACCCCACGATCCACATAAGGGTGACAAAACTTTCGGACCACCCTGTACATTGAGCCAAATTCAGCTTTAATGTCTGAGTATTTTCTCCACATAGAAAAAAAAATCAATTAGTGAACTCTTTTGGTGCACAATAAGAAAAGTGCTCTTACTTAATGTGAAATTGATACGGAAATGATTTGTTTATATGTGGAAAAAAAAAATAAAAGGGTATAAAAAGATTTTCTCAAAATATTCTTTGGAGTGTCTAATGAAAATTAAGCTAGATAGAGAAAAAAATGTTCACAAGGAAGTGGGTATTAGTTGCTATAGAAAATATCTTTAGTGGGAGTGATGTTTATGAGGTGTTGTTTACCTGGGGTCAATAAGTTAACACTCAGTAATTTAATTTAACCGTCTATTGTTGAATGAGGAATTGTGATAGATTTATTTGTTGAATCTGGTGCAGCTTTGTAAAATTATGGTAGCAGCAAGTGAGTTTTCACATATTAGAATAAGTGTGATTTGACTAAATTAGTCAAATCACACTATCATCCTTTACTTTAGGAACTGTCACTTGTCTTCCATTTTTTGAATTCACAAATGTTTTCTTCACTGCTTGTATGAATCTACTGTGGTTAAACGTTCCCAATTTTTATAAAGCTTTTATTTACTTGTTTTGGAAATAAACTTTATAGCAAGGATATACAAAAATCCTGAAGAAATCTTAATTTAATTTTAGGCCAAATGAAAATAGGTAGTTTGTATTGAACACCATTTCCAAGGGGAGAGAACTGCGTATAATAATTTAGTAAATGTACGACTGTGGCCCTGGTCATTTTTTTTTTTTTTTTTTTACCGGCTAGACATCTTCAATTACCCCGTCCCCCAACAATGATTTGTTTTGATTTTCATTATTTTGGTATGAACAAAAACTGGGAAAGGCTTCCTTAGTGTATGTCCAACAAAAGGGGAAATATTGTCCCAGCAAAAAAAACAAACACAAATCTTGTTTTCATGCCATTACATTACAATTCAATTCATTCTTTCTTTATTCATAGATTCACCAGTCATGGTCGGGGGTTTGGTTAAGTGACCCTTGGGACATCTTCACTGCTATTTCTGTCTCCTTTCTGGACAGATTAATGGATCAGATTTTCCCTTTGGCCAATGAGAACTATATCGCAAAACTCGTGGCCTTGAATTCCTAACCTTCAGGCTGAGTTGTGCTAGAATCCCCAATTTTTCATTTACTCTATTTTATTTTTTATTTGTGTATAGTGGGTGGTTTCTTTTGAAGTTCTTGCATCTATTTTACTGGCAACACAGTCATAAAATGGCTGGCATTCAGGCCCAGATAAAATCATCGATAACTCACTTGATAAGGCATCCTAACCAATCTTATAGGGACCTATTGTGTTACAATTCCAAAATGAAGGTGGATTTATATTAACTTTTCTAAAATATCATTTTTACACTGTGGGAGATATATAATATATATATATAATAAATACAAATGGCAAACATCTTAGCTCACACAGCTCGTCCTCTGATGGATTTTATCAAGGCAAATGTAAGGGTTTTATTTTGCAACCAGTATTTATACAGAGAAGCAAAAAATATTTTGGTTATTTTTCAAAATTTTAAAAATTAAGAACACTCTTAAATATATTTCATGCTAATTAATTTTTTTTAAATTCTGAAAAACTAACAGCATTTTTACGTCTGTGTATAAATAATTGTTACAAAATCATTACATTTGCTTTGATGAAGTCCATCAGAGGACAAAATGTGTTGGCTAAGTTTTCCTTTTGTCTTTATTTATATTGTTTTTTGCAGATGTATTTTTACTTATCTGAATTTTTACACACTCATATGACTGTGGTGGTAGAGAGTTAAGTTTGATTACAACTTTTTATATTATAGTTATGTTTACAGATTTGCATTCACTTGTTCTTATAGAACTAAACCTAGTCAGTGGTAGGCTTACATTTTTGGGATTCTGAAGCTTGGACACTTATAGGAGTCCATTCACAACCAGCTATAAATGCATTCTGGCAAACTCAACAAGCCCCTACAACAGGGAGTTCAGACACTGCAAACTCCCAAGAAAATTTTGAAATTTGACTAATTATAAGGGAACTTTGAGGTCATATTAAATGGGTATTAGAGCAGATTCTAAGGCCAACATTAGATACTCCAACCCATTGGCTTATGATTCTATCATTAAAATGAGTTCATTTTAGTAACAAACACTTGAAAAAAACCATTTTTTTTTTTTTTTTTTTTTTTATTGAAAAATTAGCTTTTCCCATACAGGAAACATTTGGAATTCATTAACACAGAAGTTAGGGTTACTGTCAGTTCAAGTTTTTATAAAATCTTTCTTTTTAAAACAGTTTTTCACAGAATTAGACTTTTCAATCCCCTAACTGTTATAGCCCTTTGTAGTGATGATGGGAGTTTCCTTTCAAACCTTTTGTTTGAGATAGTGGGGAAAGTTAATATCTTGATTATAACATATATCTGGTGTACGTACATTTCTGGGTCCCACAAGCTTGAACAGATATGGTGGGGGGCCTTTACAACCATCAACAATAGATTAAAGAATCTAACTGCTAAAATCTACAGATTCTGCTGAGCTCAACAAGACAATTTTGAAATTTGACCAATTACAGAGGAAATTTGAGGTCATATGAAATGGGTATTAGACAATATTCTAAGGCCAACATTAGATACTTCACCCATTGGGTTATGATTCTATCACTAAAATGACCTCATTTTAATAATAAACATTTAAAGAAAAAAATATCAATTTTGTTGAAAAAATTTTTCATTAAAAAAATGTTGCTTCAGGGGCCTCTTTTGGATTAGGGACCTTGAAGCCTAAGCTTCATTATTTTTATAGTAGATTTGCCATTGGGCCTAGTGAATTAAAGCATTGATTCATGAATTGATGATATAGTAATTGTAGGTTCAATACCTGTGCCAGGGAGTACAGACTTAGACTCCATGGAAACAGAATGAGCAAGAACTAAGAGATATCCTTAGACATGGACAGTGGGGCAAGGACAACCTATTCCTGTAGATTAAATAAAGAGTTTGAAATTCCTTAAAACTGAACCAGAGAGATAGACACCTGAAGGATCCATGATGATAGCCCCTATGTGAATAATTATATCTGAATTTCTAAAAAAAAATATATATATTTGAAAAACATACTTGTAAAATACTTTGTATTTGATTAATACTTGTTGACAAACAAGAATCTTATAAAGATCTGAATAAACATAAACACACTTAAAATTAACTTGATTCATTTATTCATTTTCTATGGCTTATCAACCCTTTGCAGCTTATTTAAACCCAGAAAATATTTTAGATAATTTTTTTTTTTTTTTTTTAGATAATTATGGTTTTAGTGATACAAGTCTTATTAATTAACCCATAGCTGGGGGAAGAAGAGGTGAATTCATACCTTTCCAAAGAGCATTTGCATGTAAGTGAATGTAATGAACCCAACAGGAATTGGAACTCTGCTCTCTTAACAATTCCAAGCCATTATCCATTACACCACCTGGCATTCCCAAGTGGTCACCCATCTAGGCACTTACCAGGCTTGACGTTGCTTAATTTTGGTGATCATACCAGAACTGGTGTTTCAACATGTGACAGTAATGTTTGAAATGAACTAATGACTTGTTTACTAATCAAACATTATCTGCAAAAAATTTTCTTTAGCCTTGAGCTTTATCTATACACAAGATCTCTATTTATGTTGTTAATAAACATGATGTCATGTCTTACACACTTTTCTCTACTATGAATACTTATTCAATGCATGAATAAATTCACTTATGTCTAATGATTTTAAAAAGGCAATAGTTTTTATTAGCAAAAACAAAAGTTAATACTTTATATCTCACCTTCAGACACTAAATGGCACAATTTGTTACCAAGTTTGGCAATTTAGATTGCGGGATTTCCTCCTTTGCATACATAATCTGTTCCAGCTCCTTAAGTGGAATGTTAAGTATTGCCAGTGTCCGCATTTTTGTCATCATTCCCTAAACACTTCAGGGCTACGGTCTGGAGAAACTTCATTATGGATGAACATTGATCACCAAGGTACAAAACTCTTGTTTTTTACAGAATTGCAATTCACATCTTGTTTTGTGGAAACATAAACTTATTTCCTTTTTGATAATTAAATGAGGTGTATTTGGACATGGATTAAAATGAATGTAGCTTGGGTTTTGTTTTTTTTTTTTTTTGTTTTTTTTTGTTTTTTTTGTTTTGATCTGGATGCATACAAAGGATGTGGAACATCAGAACAATTGTCATCTAAAGAACTGTTATTTTTATTTACAGAAATATAAGATCACTGTAATGTTCTTAAATGATCTCTTGCTGATCTATGGGTCGTTAAGTTTTAAACAAACAAACAAACACTGTAATGTTACCTAAAAAGCATTCTGGGTTATGTATTCATAATCTAGAATAAGATATGATAAAAAAATAATTGGGATACTGGCTACTCTCAATAGGTCATTTTCAAAAAGAAAAACTTAAGTAATAAAGCATTTATCCAATATTTTCTTGAGTTACTTTGTAGTACTTAGTTACTATGTTGAGAATTAATTTTTGTGCAACAGACTGCCAAGTGTGATTGTGCATGTAGTCATAACAATCTATAAAAATCAGAATTGTATTAGTATTTTTAAATTGATATTTCAGTCAGCATCTTTTGAGTTCAAATAAAGATATCTTTTAGGTAAGATGAAAGACAACCACTTCTTTCTATGCATATTTTTAACAAGAAAAAGTTAGCATTGTTTTGCAATATCATCTGGATTTCTTTCTTCTGAGTAAAAAAATTATTGAATAAAAATATTTTTACTAACATTTCAATCATTTTTAATAAACATCAGGGGTTATTTTCATCAAGTATTCTTTGATACTTATCATAATCATCCTTGATTACTCCCCTCTCTCAGATAATGTAAATTAATTAAACAATAATTGCACCACTGGCTTGCTGCATCTTCTCGTTTAGCACATCTTTACTCTCCTGAACAGTTGCAGGAACAACATCTTAGCACTTAGGTGATACCATATGTGTATTATTTCCTATATAAAATTAGGCAAAAATATTTTCTTAAACTTGCTGCCAGCTAAATGAATCAGATTACATGGAATCCTCATCAACATGTAGGCCAAATGAGGCTCTTTCAGTGATCTTTTTAAAATCCATGGCTGCCCATTATCAATTCCAAATATTACCCAGTGTAATAAAAGTATGGTATTTGCCATACAAGAGACATCCGTGACTGCAACCGACTCTTCATCATACTTTAACCACAAAGGAAAAGTTGATTAGATGTCTTACTTCCTTTTTTTTTCTTTCCTGGATCTTCTTAATCTGGCAGTGAATCTATTAGGGATTCAAAACAAATTGTAGATGTTGATGTCAGATTTAAAAGCAATTTAAATTGGCTTATACATTAATTTATTATAATAATTAATGTATATCTATGTAGTCACAAAGGAGAAAAAAAAGCTTTTCACGAAAATTTTGGAAAGAAAAAAAAAGATCCCACCTGATTGCAAAAAAAAAAAAAGTTTAATATTTAAATAAAGAATTCCAGCTACCAGTGGCTAAAAAAAAAAAAAATTAGTGCTGCATAATTTTATAAAAAATACTCTTTATCTTTTCTAACTTGGGCATTTAGCTAATTATTTTAATTTATGCTCACCCTATACAAAGTTATTTTGTAATTAGGCAAATACCAAATTGGGACTTTACCAATTTCATAGTCTTTATCATTTATAAACATGTCCAGATTTAAACAGAATTTAATGATAAATATTCTTGATATTATAAATACATGTTTGGTTATTAGATTCAAGGTTTTAAGCAGAAAATGTATAATTATCTGCAATGATTTAATTATGCTAGCTAAATGTTTATAAACTGGAAACTTATTAAAGTTTAACAAATAAAATGAGCACAAAAGCAGTCTTCAGATTTTGTCAAGATCTGAAGAGCCTATTGCTGTTCTTATCAGAAACTTTTTATAGGGAAACGATTATGTTTAATATTATGTGATAGCAACATTAAGAAAATTTCTTTAAACAAAGTGTTAAAATGTTTTCAATCTTCTATGGCAGTGAATGCTGAACAGTTTAAACTGTCTACAGAAGGATGCTAAGAAAAGCATGAATGGAGCAATGAGGAAGTTTTCAAGAAAATGGGAACAAAAAGGACACTTAGAATCAGAAAAAGTTGAAATTTCTGTGATATATAATGAGAAACGTGGGCTTGGAGAATTTGAGCTTTGCAGGATGTATAGCAGACAAGAGGGGCATTTTATTTCTTAAATATTAATTTGTATAGAATTAAGCCTAAAAATATATCTACCCCTCTGCATCATCTAGACTTTTAAATTAAAAAATCTGTTGATTTTTTTTTTTTTTTTTTTTTTTTAAAAAAAAAAAAAAAAAAAGCTGTATTTTATATATATATATATATATATATATATATATATATATATATATATATATGGTATGTTTTTTTTTTTTTTTTTTTTTTTCTCACTAGGGGTAAACAAATAATTTGGCAAGCAGTAAAATCTGATAATGAAGAAGTCAGCTCTCTGACTGAAAATGTGAATGAAACCTGCATGGGATAATCAGTAAGCTACCATCTTGGTTAGATGAGTTTGCAAAGTTAGAGGATGCAAGTTCAAATATCATTACAAACTTCTGTATTTTAATTTCAAACCATTTGCTTATTTATAGAATTTAAGAATTACTGAGTATTGCAATTAAAAAAAAACAAAAAAATAAGTTATAGAAAAATTAGTAAATTGTTATAAATAGTTGTCATATCATAATTTAAGTTTGGGCATAAATATATTTACCTAAACCATTACCAAGCCTTACATATTCTGTATGTGGGTTGTTACAACAACAAGAAAATCTAAATTGAAGATTAAAGCTATTTTCATTTCATTTTACAGCTCAGCATTAGGCCTGAATAATAATAATCTGATTTTTGTTATCCGTAGGGTTAATATAAAAGCTGAAGAGAAAAAACCTAGCCATGTTGGAAGAGGAGAAAATGAAAAGATTACGAATTGTTGCATGAAATAATAATAGCACCATTTATTTTCATATATAGTTTGTTTGTTCAGTAAATGGTTATAATGTAGGAAAATATATATATATATATATATATATATATATATATATATATATATATATATATATATATATATATACATACATATATAAATAACTAGACTCGTTTCAAAAGCCGAGCTTTCCCTGACGATCCGTTTAGGTGAAACCTAGGTAGGTTTGTCTGGCTCACTAGGTGTATCTATATATATATATATATATATATATATATATATATATATATATTTTTTTTTTTTTTTTTTTTTTGCATAAGGCTTGAAGTCAAAAAAAAAATTAAAATGGTGATTTGAGTTTTAAAACAATTTTGTTTTTGTGTGTGGGGATACGTGTGTGTACACGCCTATATGTATTTACGTGTAAATATAAATATGTTGTTGTGTATACGCATGTGTTTTTGAACATAGAAATATAGGTCTTTGCTAGATTAGATAATTGAATCGTTATATTTGGGGTTTTTTATGTTTATATTTGCTTTGTAACCTGTAGTTGATATTAATTTTGTCAAATTTTCTTAATTATACAGCGGCCCTTTTATAAATGCCGTTTGGTTTTAGTTTCCCCCACCCCTTTTTTTCTTTTCTTTTCCCTCTCTCATCTTCTGATCTTTAAGATTATATCGTCTATTGTGTGTGTATGTCACCACAAAATGTATCCTTTCCAGTTACATCTTTAATGTATTAGACATCCAAGAACATTCATATTTCTCTCACTTTAACCGTCTTTGACTCCCCTCTTTAAAACTTCTCTGTTAAATTTTACCCCCCCCCCCCATTCATCTTTAGACCTTCCTGTTCTTCTCTCATCTGTTACCCCTCCCTATAGTTTTTCATTTACTCTAACATTCGTCACACACTCTTATACATACTCTCACTAAACTTTATTTTCTATTCCTGGAGTTGTTTTTTCTGTTTTCTTTTTGAATTTGTAGGTCTGATGAATTGGATCGTATTTAAGATTCCAATTGAATAAATTATGACCATATTATATTTTTTATTATTATATATATGGTTTGTGTGTACATATATATAGGTTTTGTGTGTGTGTGTATATATATATATATATATATATATATATATATATATATATATATATATTTTTTTTTTTTTGTGTGTGTATATATATAGTTTTTTTTTTTTTTTGTGTGTGTATATATATATAGTTTTCTTTTTTTTTGTGTGTGTATATATATATATAGTTTTCTTTTTTTTTTTGTGTGTGTATATATATGTGTGTGTGTGTGTGTGCAGGATTGTTGTAAAATCAAAGATTCAAGATTTTGTTTTTTTTTTGTTTTTTTTTTTTTTTACATCAAATTGTTGGCATTATATAATAATAAACAGGATATATTTATATCCTGTTTATTACCATTATTATTATCATTGTTTCTTGGAATTTTGTTAATTTGAAACCATCTTTATTAATGTTGATTCCTTTGATTCAAAACAGTTTGTAGCTGTTGGCT